CAGGAACCCAGAAGCAGGAATTGAAGTAGAGACCACAAAGGAACATTGTTCCCTGGCTTGCTCTTTATGGTTTGCTCAGCCTGCTTTCTTATATAAGCCAGATGTAGGGGTTTGAAAGAAAATGGTCCCCATAGGGAAGGGCACTGTTAGGAGGTGTGGCTTTGTTGGAGTAGGTGTGGCCTTGTTGGAGGAAGTGTGTCACTGTGGGGGCGGGGTTTGAGGCCTCATATGCTCAGGCTACGCCCAGCACACAGTTTACTTCCTGTTGCCTGCTGATCAAGATGTCGACCTCTCAGCTCCTTCTCCAGCACCATGTCTGCCTGCGTCCTTCTGTGTTTCCCACTGTGACAATAATGGACTAAACCTCTGAAACTGTAAACCATTGCCAATTAAACGTTTTCCTTTATGCCATGGTCATGATGTCGCTTCACAACAACAGAAACCCAAACTAAGACCCCAGCACCACCTGCCTAGGAGTGGCACCTCCCACGGTGGGCTGTGCCCTCATTAATCAAGACACTGTCCCACAGACACACCCATGGGCCCACCTCATGGAGGCAATTCCTCAGCTGAGGTTCGCTCTTCCCAGGTGGCTCCAGTTTGTGTCGGGCTCACGAGACCTAACAAGCACTTTTACACATCACAGCATACACTTAACACACCTTGATGGCTGTGCGTCTATGCCGCATGGGGTATGGAGAGTTGCTCCTGGGACCACGACAAATGGAACGACATGATTTCAAGTCAAGTACAAGAGAAGAGAGGACGCAGCTGGAGATGAGATAATCAGACGCGTGAGGCGGCGGCCGGCATTGCGGGTCTGTCTCCCAGCAGCGCAGGGTCAAATAGCAATGAAGATACGGCATGATAAATACACGACCCAGTTCACAGTCATCTGCTATCGCTGTCAGGCATTGTCTGCCACAGACACATATGTACTGTTTCTGTACAGGGGACCACAGGGCAGGCTTGTTTGCGCCGGCACCAATGCAAGCACATCGGAACTGCACTGCATCCTGATGCTACCACAGTTACAACACCCCTGAGCACTGGGAACGTTTGGCTCCATTACACTTTATTAGACTCGCACCGTCCATGCCGCCTTTCACTGACTGGAATGTCCTTACGAGGTATAGGGCTGTGTGAGAGGAAGAGTGTGGAACTAATTTCGGTGCCTCTGAAAACAGTCCTAGACTTGCTAGAGGGCAAGCTTCTGTCCTGTCGCCTCTGGGATATTAGTCAGTCTTCCATCACGGTTTAGGAGGCTTGTGTCCAAAATCCTCAGACCATAGTGCTTTGGGTCTCTGATGAGAGGACTGGGTAGTAAGGACGGGCAGTGCAGGGGTACAACTGTTTACCTGAAGGCTAAGAAGCCAAAGGAACCAAGGAAGAGGTTGGTGTCCCACAGTTCTCTCCAAGGGCACATACCCAATGACCCAAGGACATCCCATTGGGCACTACCTCCCACCAGTACCACCCTGTTAGACTAAGCCTTTGCTACATGTACTGTTAAGGGATGGTACTCAAATCCTAACAGCAGTCAACTGTGGTCATGGGGCATCTCTGCTTACACTCTGGAAGGTTGGCATGCCCTGAGGAGTTACCCTTGCAGTCCCTGATGGGCATGGTTTGTTTTCTATGCCATCCAGTGGCTCAGGAGGGATGTCCCACCTGATGGACGGTCCTTAGGAAGAGGTCAGACATGTGTGCTTCATCTTCCTCATGCCATGTGTCCACTGAGGAGTGCTCACATACTGCAGAGGTCAGGAGCAGGTCTCTTGCACAGGACAAGTTGGCCTCTACGTCAATGGAGCCTCACCCAGAGGGTGTCCTCCCTGGGAATGGTTTAGGGTCTTCTAGGCTCTCCTCCAGGCCTATCTGCCCCCTAGAAATCACTGCACACTCAAGTTTGTTTACATTGTCTTAGAATACCTGTAATAAAAATGTTAACTACACACTTTTAAGTGTGTAGTTCAGGGCTATGAGATATAATGATGTTGTGGTAATGGTCACCACTGTCTATTTCTGCAACATTTTCTTCTTTCCAAGCTGCATTTCTCTGCTTCCAGGGGGCTGAAGAGATGACTTGGTGAGCAAGAGTTCTTGCTGCACAAACATGAGGACCTGAATTCAAATCTTCAGCATCCTCGTGAAAAGCCACACATGACAGAGAACACAGACCGCAGCACTGTGGGCACAGAGGCAGAGGATTGCTAGGACTGGAGGGCCACCACCCAACTCTAGCTTCGGGGACACATCCTTATCTCAAAGAACCAGGGAAGATAGAGAAGGACACTTGACAGCCTCCTCTGGCCTTGCACACGGGTGTGAACATTCTGACACACATATATAACACACACACACACACACCCCACTCCCATTTTTGTGCCAGCCCCTGGTAACCTCTGTTTTTCTGTGATGGATCTAAGTCCCTCATATAAAGCATGAGAGTCACACACTATTTATTCTTATGTACACACAGTGATAGTCCAAAAAGCAGATTATCAATCAGTATGCAGGGTTCCGTGGTCTTGATGGTGCTGAGTTAAACTGAGTAGGATTTTCAAAGCCTCGGCGCATTCCTGCATGTGAACCGCAACCAAACTCAGCACACCAACTTAAAACCTCACTCGGGAATCTGCAACCAACCTCTGAGTGCCAGGCAGTCGAAGAAGCTGAGTGGCCGGCTCGTCTGGGTCACACAAACACAGATCAGCCCAAGTCGCCCTGACCTCTTCCAGTTCTGAGAACTGGCTGTCCACTCCTTGCTCACTTCACCTCCTCAGAAGGATTTCATTTGAATGCAGGCTTGCTGCATCCTGCTGCATCCTGCTGCCTCTGCTTCTGTGGGAGGGAAGTGACTCCAGCTGCTGCTGCAGGGGGACCGCTCTAAGCCATGTCGTGAGACACTTGGAGCTGAAGGCAACAGCCCACCAGAAAGACCGACTAAGGTCTCCCCCCAAAATGGAAATGGATTATGTGCTAATTCCAGATTTTTTTTAAAAGAAAATGTATATATATATATATACACATATACATTTTTATATATAAATATATATATAAATATATATATATATAAATATATATATATATATATATATATATTTATGATAGAATAGGGCTCTTGCCCCAGCCTGGGCAACATCTTCCAAAATCTTGATAAACATCAATTAAGCAAGAGAAAAAGCTAAGCGGCTTTGAGGGGAGACAGCAGGATGAGGGAGAGGCAAGCAGATCAAGAGAGGATCCTAAGGGCCCTACTTCAGGACCGCCTCTGGGAAGGCTTTGAGGGACCCAAGGTGGTTCTTGTCTCTACAGTGGGTATACCCGTTGTACCCGTTTGGATTAAAGCTGTCTGGGAGTGCGTCTTAGTTCGAGTTTCAATTGCTGCAATGAAACACCATGACCAAAAGCAACTTGGGGAGGAAATGGTTTGTTTGGCTTACATTTCCATATAGCTGTTCTTCACGGAAGTAAGTCAGGACAGGAACTCAAGCAGGGCAGGAACCTGCAGGCAGGAGCTGATGCAGAGGCCATGGAGGGGTGCTGCTCACTGGCTTGCTCCTCATGGCTGCTCAGCCTGCTTTCTTATACAATCCAGGACCACCAGCCCAGGGTGGCACCACCCACAATGGGCTGGGCTGTCCCTCATAAATCACTAATTAAGAAAATGCTCAGCCGGGCGGTGGTGGCGCATGCCTTTAATCCCAGCACTTGGGAGGCAGAGCCAGGCAGATCTCTGTGAGTTCGAGGCCAGCCTGGGCTACCAAGTGAGCTCCAGGAAAGGCACAAAGCTACGCAGAGAAACCCTGTCTCGAAAAACCAAAAAAAAAGAAAAGAAAAGAAAAAAAAAAGAAAATGCTCAACAGGCCTGCCTACAGACTGATCTTTTGGAGGCATTTTCTCAGTTGAGGCTCCCTCCTCCCTGATGACTCTAGCCTATGTCTAGTTGACATAAAACTAGCCAGTACAGGGTTGTATTTTTAAGTTTGGTCAAAGGTTTCTGCATAAATACTGAACTGCAGCCTAAGGTGATGTGGAACCCACCTTGTAATAAATCACAGAGCCTTGGCCTTTCACCAACAGCCAGCCAAACAGTTCAAATAAGACAGATCATCTCCACCTCGTCCAATTTCTTCACCTTATTTCCTTCTCTCTGGTTATGAATGTAACCTGCCCTCTCGGTCAGCAGCCTGGAGCATTTTTGGTGACCAGTCTAGAGCCACCAGTAACACCAGTCAGGGCCTTCAAGGGTGGATTGTTATATTCTCATTTGTAGTCTCCCTCCGACACCTGCCTTGGGTTTCCTTCTTTTTACTTTATGTTTATAAGTGTTTGCCTAAGCGTATGTATGTGCATCATGTATTTGCAGTATCTATGGAGGCCAGAAGAGGGCGCCAGATCCCCTGGAGCTGGACTCACAGATGGTTTTGAGCACCCATATGAGTGCTGGGAACGAAACCTTGGTTGTCTGCAAGAGCAGCCAGTGTGGTCTTCGCCCCTGAGCCATCTGTCCAGCACCCTGGATTTTCTCTTTTGACATCCCCCAGGTGGGTGGCGTCTGTTACAGAATTGAAAACACAAACCAAATTAGAAAACAGACCACAGTCAGAGCTCCATTTCCCTTCAGTGGGCAATTGAAGGCAGTTAAAATTCTCTTGTTGAGCCTCAGATGTCTGTATAGAAAAATCAAATCCATAATTGTTACAAAATCTTACCTTTTTTGTTACTGATACAATTGACACATCCCTTTCATGTAGACATTATCCAATTTAAACATAATGATGCCGAGCAAAGCGTTTAGGGAAGAATAAAATGTGTAACGCATGTGGGGAATTCTCTCCCTCCTTGGAGAAGTGCCCCGGGGGTTGGCTCTTGTTTACTTAAGAGAGTTACATAGTTTCGAGACGGGCTGCTTATCTTGGGTAGACTGAAAGATGATCAGTTCCTCATGTCAGAAGCTGAGGTAAGGAAAGGGCTGCTTCAAAGGGTCCGCTTACCCGGGGGAAAGCGCTGAGCAGAAGCAGAAAGCCGGATATAATTTCCTCTCGGCACATCCACTGCATATGTCTCCGAGCAAGAATTTCAGACCCATCTGGAGGGAGAGAGAGGCAGGAATAAGAAGATTTACTTTTCTTGCTGTTTGGACGACCTTGCCCTCTCAAGATAAATGAACAGAGAGGGGGACGTTTCCACCCCTGTGGGGCGGGACCGTTCAGTGCAATGTCTTTTTATTTAAAAGGAAGGTTCCAGCAACAAAAAACAATTATAGATGGACATTAAACTTGGGGAGTTCCTGTGCTGCCCACCCCGCTTTCAAGTACAAACGGTGGGGACAGCCGCAGGGTGCAGAAAAATCCCTGATCCACCCGGGGCCGGCCAGGCAACGGCCACTCCAGATCCAGGAAAGGTGTAAAGTCAACAGCAGACATAACTGAAGTGTAAACCAAGGCCACCCACACCCCGCCCCCACTTCCACCACCCCCTGTTGGCTACACCCCACTCTCTCCCTGCATCTCCCTCCATGGTTCAGCCTAACTCCCACGTTTTCCCAGCTTGCCCTGTGGAGATGAACGAGCCCCAAATCCAGACACAGGTGTGAGCTATGCATGGCCCATTCCATCAGAGAGCATTCAAACACAACCTTGGGAGTAAAATCACGTCAGCTATAATTCTTCTAAGAGCCAGAGGGGGTCCACAGGCGTAATCCACGGTGTGTGTAAAGAAAGCACCATCTTCTGGGTATTTCCAGTCCACCCCACAGCTGCGCCCTAAACTTGTTCAAACGCCCAGTTCCCAACCTCCCTGTCCCAATACCCCACCCTGTCCCGTTTTCATCACAGAGCTGGGGTTGGACAAAAGTCCAAAGTTTCTTCATTTTTGGAGGAGAAACTGAGGCACACTGGGCTTGACCGTGACAGAATAGGCTGCTGCTGGGTGGGAAGGTGGAATGGTCACAGGACACGGGAAAAGGATTGGCGGAACTTTGAGTTTCTTTGGTTCTGGCTGGGGCATCCAGCCCCAACCGGTCTCTAATCCATCAGCCCAGGAGCTGTGGGGGCATCAAAGCTTGAGTTCTCGCTCAGCATTCTGGGTAAGGTGGTAGGCACACAGAGGAAAGGCTTAAAAGAATGAGGGGGTGCTGGGGGCTGGAGAGATGGCTCAGCAGTTCACAGCACTCTGCTCTTCCAAGGGGCCTGGGTTTAAGTCCCAGCACCCACGTGGTGGCTCACAACCATCTGTAGCTCCAGTCCCAGGGGACCCAGCGCCCTTTTCTGGTGTCCTTAGACGCACAGTGTTGAACAGGCATAGATGCAGACAAAACACCCCTATACATAAAACATTTTTTAAAAATTAAACTTCTTTTCTAAAGTTCAGAGAATCCTAGGAAAGCTCTCTTACCACCTCCTGGTCCCCACCGTGGCCCCTGAGGCTGCCACTGAATCTGCCTAAGCAAAACCATGGTGACGATGGACAGCTTCTGCCAACAGTGGGTGTGTGCCAAGCCCAGCCCACAGCCATGCCCTCCTCAGCATCACAGGGCCTGGATGGAACAGAGCCCAGCATTTCTGAAATCTTTATTTCATCCCTGATTGGGGTAGAACTGAAATTTCAGGGCCAAATTGGAACTTTTTTTTTTTTTTTAAACTAAATCCGCCACAGGGACAGACGTGGGTGTTGGAGAATATGCTTCCAACGAGCATTTGCTCTGCCCAGTAACCTTTGGGGCAATACCTCAGCATTAGTCATTGCTTGCTGGGAAGGAGTTTAGAATTCCAGAAAGTATTAGCGAACTGGCTGTGTGGTTCTAAATCACAGAGGAAAGGGTGGAGAGGCAGCTGGCGCCCTGCTTAAAGGTCACAGCACATTATTTCTACTTTAGTACCCAGAGTCCAAGTGGAAATAAAGGGGAAAGTTAAGATCCAAGTTGGTTTTCACAAAATAAACTGAGGCCAGGGAGCCACAGAGTTCTCTGAGATCCACTGGCTGCCATTTCATGAGCACCACTGAACACAAGACACACAATAACAAGGATGGCCACATATTACATATAAGCAGGGAATGTCCAGATCAGTGGCTGCCAATCACTGCCTCATGGACTCTGGGAACAGTGCAGATACAGGAGTTAAATGCAGATCCATCATCAGTAACTCCACTGTGTGCAAGCCCCGGTTCCTCGGGCAGCTACAGTCTGGCAAGCCGCTCTAGAGGACCAGGGGATAAAGACCAATAACCATGGTCTTAAAATCCCACTGGCCCTGATCTCATCCAGAAGAACCTTCAGCCTCTGTTTCTCCCAAGAAGGTCTCAGAGAGTTCACACCATCTCCCTAGTGACTCATGCGGCTTTCTGGCTCTTTCCAGCCATCCTTCCAGCTTTCCTCGGCCTCCACTTCAGTTACCAGTGGTCAGCCATGCCTTAGCATGGGAGCTGGCTGCTCTCTCAACTGCTGACACTGGTGTCCTGCCCTGGTTGTTCCATACAGAAAAAATGCTTCTCTTCACCAGGTTTGAGGTAGAAGGACATGGACTTGCATTCTTGGTAGGGTGCAACTCCCCTCTCTAGCGGTATGGTTTCCAGGACAACTAATACCCGTCTTTGAACAACCCAATTAAGTACCAGGACAGATGCTGTGAACAAGGCAGAGAGCTAGCGAGCATTTGGAGTGCTTGGCAGCTTGTGTAGATGATCCCATTTCCTCTTCCTATCAGCTCCTGAGGCAGGTATTACCACCGTCCCCTTCTGAGTACACAGACTTGTAGAGACCCAGAACTTTGGACTCAAGTTGAGAGGATGGGACACTCTAGCCAGCTCCTGTTTGGGAGGAGCTTTCGTTGGTGCCATCAAGTGTCCAGAGGAACCAAAGCTGCAGCCCTCCAATGATTGTCACCTGGCATATCTGAGGAGCAGCTGGACGTTACCTGTGTAGACAGCCTTGGTTTTCTTTTGGCCATAATGCATTTGAAACTGGGACTAATGCCTTAAGAAATAAGAAGGGGAACTGGATAAAAGAAATAGCCCAGACGGTGAATATTTAGTGACGTCAGGCTCTGCATGTTGCCTCTGCTTTCAACATGACACACTTCTCAGACCTAGGAAGCAGGCACTAGTAGTGTCTCCAGTTTACAGGCACCGAGATGGTAGCTGTCTTAACATGTCTATTGCTGCGATGGAACATCATGACCCAAGTGCAAGTTGGGGAGGAAAGGGTTTACCTTTCCTTATACTTCCACACTGTAGTTCACCGCTGAAGGAAGTCAGGACAGGCACTCAAACAGGGCAGGAACCTGGGGGCAGGAGCTGATGCAGAGGCCATGGAGGGGTGCTGCCTACTGGCTTGCTCCTCATGGTTGCTCAGCTTGCTGTCTTATAGAACCCAGGACCACCAGCCCAGGGATGGCACCACCCACAATGGGATGTGTCCTCCCCCATCAGTCACTCATTAAGAAAATGCTCTACAGCTGGATCTGATGGAGGCATTTTTCTCAGTTGGGGTTCCCTCCTTTCAGGTAACTCTAGCTTGTGTCAAGTTGACATAAGAACAGCTAACACGGTAACTCATGTAGAGGACATAGATATTAAAGTGCAAGGGCCGTGTCTTAGCTTCAGCTGTCAACATGACACACTTGGGAAGAGGGAGCCTTAGCTGAGGAACTGGCTTCTCGGATAGGCCTACGCGCATGTCTGTTGGGCATTTTCTCAGTAATTGCTAATTGATTCAGAAGAGCCCACAAGACATCAGATTAAAAATAAGATACATGAGAGTAGCAACCAGGGGGTGTGTACATTCAAAGAGGACTGTGGAGTCCAGCCTTCTATCTGATCCCTCCTCTTCGTTAATGAATATGATTCTACACATAAAATGTATTGAGATAGAAAGAGGTGAGTGCCTTAGGGAGGACCTAATTACATCCCTGGAGGAGCTTAGGTGACCGGAGGGGGACTGTTAAGTCACTGAAGTGACTAAAGGTGGAGATGGGAAGGACAAGAAGTGGCACACTCCAGGTAGAAAAGGAGCTTGGAGGTGGGAAAGGGTCCTTGGGTCCCAAAACAGTTCAAATTGAAGTGGGTTGGGCCAGCATGATGAATGGATCCGTCTCAGCATAAAACTGCCTGAAGTCATCAGAACTATTAGCAGGGAGACTTTTCCAGCCTTCCCTGCATTTCCAGCATACATGTAGCATGAAAAGCTCTTGGTAGTGCCAGGGGCAGGAGAATTCTGTGTACCAGTGCCAGGGAGTGCAGCTCTACCCCTGCACAGTATCCACTCTCGACAGGCATCTCCTATTCGGCAAGTGGGAAAGTAGGATCAAACACGTCAGTGGAGTGAAGGTCCTTGAGAGATCATGGTTTGGGCTGGGATGACTCAGCTCGCCACCAAGCCTGATGGCCTGAATTTGATCCCCAGAACCCACATGGCGGAAGGAGAGAAGTGATTCTGCAAGTTATCCTCTGACCTCTGACATGCATCATTATATGTGGGTGCCCTCTCCCCCCCCCCCATAAAATAGTGCAGTTTAAAACAATCATGGCTTTCAAGTTGACATCACAGCGCCCAAAGTGACAGAGGCAAAGTCTCTTTTTGACTGCAGCTGTGTATGACCACAACCACAGCTGAATTCTAAGTCTAGACTCAGTTCTTCCTGCCTCATCCTATTTGGCAGGGACCTAGGTTTATGAAAACCAAACAAACCACACCAACAAAAATCCAACTAGTTTCTTTCCTAAGGACATACAGGGCATTTCTTCTAATCAGCAGTCCTCATCTGCCTGCAGTCAGTGGACAGCAAAGAAAGAAGCCTAACACGGTGACACAAACCTACTGATAAGGCTAACTTTTGCTGTTGTACAACTGCTTTCAAGTTTCAAACAACTAAGCCCAAGAAGTCAAAAACAACGTTGACAATGAATTTCAAAGTAGAACACAAAGTACTCTGAAACAATGAAAGTGTCCGGCTCTGTGGTTGACCAGTTGTCTAGTTCTCTACAGATGCACTAGCTTATTTGAACATGATCTAACAGATGTCCAGGGGTCCCACAATCCCTGCAGAAGAGGGAACCTGACACCAAGGAGGCAGCTCTGACCATGCTTTC